TGAAGTGGAACCACCTTGAATTATAGTGTGCGATATATAAAAAAAAAAAACTGTATATTTAAATAATACTACTTATGACGTAGAATTATTTCCTTTTAATTATACATGGCTAGAAAAAAAAATCTGTATTTTTGATTACTTTTCAAATTATGTTGTCAAGTTTAAAGAGAAATGTGCTGTGTTCCATTTATTTTCTTTAATTATAGATGGAGCTGCTTACTGTTTGGGTCGTGTCAACCAGGATTGCTGGTAAGCTTCTTCTTGGTTTATTTTTGTTATTGGTTATTCTATAAAAGTTATGATGATACATTTATTGTACTATTTATCATAAAAAACTTACATATTTGAAGTGTTATAAATTTTTCACTTTTTTTATTGAGAGATGTCATTGTTTTAATTTTTTTTCCAATAAAGCCGATTCTCTTTCTGGGATTTTTTTCTTTCTTGTGTAGCTAAAACTAATCATTGCTAAAGATTAAGAATAGATCTACAACATCATCAGTTATCAAGTAAAAATATCCTTTGAAAACAAAGTTGAGCGATTGAGTTTTATTCTGAAAGATTACGTTTTGAACTCAAAATCTGATCTTTCTTTCTAGGTACTTGTACACATTGAACCCTCCTGATAATTTTGTGGGTGTACAGGCTCCAGATCAGACTTTGGAAATATCCTTTTATTGATACTGTATTTATATTTAAGTATGATCGTTTCGGATAAAAATTAAGCATGTAACTCTGGCTTAAAAAGTTAGAAGACTTCCGTAAACGTAGATAGGTTGTTTAGGCAGAGTATGTCAACTGGACACGACATAAACATGGGAAAAAGCTAGAATCATTGACACAGACAAGTTTTGGAAGACAAGAAAAATTAAAGAATCGTTTTACATTGACACAATTAAACCTTCACTAAACAAAGATTCAGGATTAGAGGTGAGTAAACTGTGGCTACCATTGGTCGAGGCTACAGGAAGTCTCTCCTCTAATCAGAAATGTGTTTTAACCAACCAATCATAACACGCTTTCCACAATCCACTAGAACACTATAAAGACCAAACTACACCACACACTCACTGACCTGTAGACGAAAGGCGGAAGACTTTCGAAACGTAGTCGTCTACATTTGTAGGTTTCTACAACAGGTAGTTCCTGTCCATTTGAAACTTCGATTCATCAGTAGACTTCCAGTTTAAACCCTATCAGTCTTGATGGACTAAATTTTTTCCAGGGTATAGAACTAATGACACTGGTATGATGCAAATATTTTGATGGTGCCATAGCAGAAGGTAATGTTCTTTTTTATTTCACTTTAATATACTATGACTAAGCCTTTTCACAAATGTTTGTGTATGAATCCGTAATATTTTGTAAGAGTATTTAATCTTTTTCCAAATTGGACAAATAAAACTTTGATATCTTGTGTTACTTTTGCCTCAGAATGATTCCGTTAATAGCTACTGAGACGCATGTAACCCACCAATAATACGTGATGAGACCATATGCAAGTTTCAGAAACTGTCATGGGAAATATTTAAAAAAACAACAACAAAGTACCCCTAATTTCTTTATAAATACTTGTCATTTCTATTTTAAGAATATGAAGTTAGTACTGAAAGGGTTAAGTTAAATCCTTGCTGTGCCTTTTCAAGCCTCAGAAGCCAATACTTTCGTACTCTGGTTTCAAGTGGCACAAGCGGATGAGATGGTGACCCATTTCTACATTGCAGGTTAATCTCCAGCTGGGTGGACTGAAACAAATAGGGACAGCGTGATGCAGGCCAATCTTGAACTCGCAATCATCCGATTAAGAGTCCAAAGGGCGAAACCACTGAATTACACTTCCCGCACGCTAGAACGTAACAGTTTAAACGTAACAAGAAAATTAAATAAATAATCAAAAATTTTTTTTTTCAAGTTATTTATAATTAAAAGGGTTAATAGTAAAAAATAGATAAAAAAATCAGAGTATAGTATTATGTAAACAAAGCTACAAGAAGGGCTATAAATATAACTCGACTGACAGACTTCCACTATACAAACTATAAAATTTGTCTCTAAAACAAAACTACATAACCTACAAAATTAACTTGGATTGTTGGATGTGAAAATTTATGTATTTTAGTATCTGTACAAGGACTGTTCCTGTTATTCAGTTATCTATGCATGAGTGCAACATTGTCAACTGTATAATATTAGCTATAATTGTTTGGCAAATAGCTATGTATTTTGTATAACATATAATACTAGCACTGCTTGTTATGATTCTTGTTGTGAATGAAGTGTTATTAACCTTGCGATTCTTGTTGTGAATGAAGTGTTATTAACCTTGCGATTCTTGTTGTGAATGAAGTGTTATTAACCTTGCGATTCTTGTTGTGAATGAAGTGATATTAACCTTGGGATTCTTGTTGCGAATGAAGTGTTATTATCCTTCGGATTCTTGTAGAATCACATCCTTTGTAATCTTTAGATATTACTAAATTTCTGTTACTTCTCAGATCATAAAATGGTAAGTAAAATTAATGTTGATTTTTACTGTCTTTAGTGAACAATTTCATTATGTAGACCAGTGTTGGTGATATGTTTAGGGTAATAAAGGGAACTTTCCTAAACTAAGTCAAGTCATTATGCAACAACTAGACTCTAAAATCATGAGAATCTTCACGAAGAAAGTCTGCAGTACTGCTCAAGAAGCCACCCACCGATCGGGCATTGACATGCTGTTCCCTGGTATAGTTATTGATGATTTTCTCTTTGATCCTTGTGGATATTCAATGAATGGTCTGCTGAAAGGAGTGAGTATTTCCCCCATAATTAGCTGTAACAGATTTATAATTTGGTAAGGTTTTGTATTGATTCGTAAGAATGTATCCAGTGATGCCTAATCTTGAAGTAAAATCATTTAAAGTAGGCTTAACACATTTCTACTTTCGTGTAGTGAATTACAATAAATTAAAAAATATTAAACGTAGAAGAGTGTGTATATATAAAGTTTGGCAGTTTGTCTTGCATTAATTAATATTATTCCCTTATTTCAGTTAATTTGTACTGTATCAATTTTGTGTTGTATTTTATTTATGATCGTAAGTTTCCCAATTTAATCATTTTCTAACTGGAAAGAAAAAAAATAGATTTTGAAGGTTATGGTTTGAATGATTAAACAAATTATTAACTTCAGATGTTTTTGTTATTATTCTACTTTATATATCCTTCATGGTTTTTAAACTAAATATCATGAAAAATATCATTTCAAATTTATTTCTTGTCCACCTCATAAGTCACTGATATTGAATGATTTGCAAGAGACAAAAATTGGATATTGTATGGTTTATTGATGCACGTCTGGTTAGAAATTTAATGCGGATAAATTAAAATAAAAGCAAACCTTACAGTCTAAATGATTTTGGAAATAATAATTACGGACAATTTCTTCTTTACAGGGCTATTACATTACCATCCATATCACACCCGAGCCTCATTGTTCCTATGTCAGCTTTGAAACTAATGCTCCACAGGTACGGTCTTGATCTCATGTTTAGCATGAACCTTTTGATGTGTTTAAAAAATGGCTAGCAAACAATATGAAATTTAGATAGCTATTTGTGGAATATCAGATTTATTTCTGCTAACGTTTCGTCTCTCACAGTGAGACATGATCATTTAAGGTACACGTACATTCGAATTGTACCTTAAATCTTGTATGTGATCATGTACATAAATAAATCTACCATCCTACAAACATCTATCTCAAAACTTCATATTGTTTGTAAGTTAAGTGGGTATCTCTTAAAGACTGAAAACAGCTTGTAAAAATAGTACAGTACTAAAAACTAATCTTTTATTTTCTGAGGAGTTAATCATTCGTTACATTTCTTACAACTAATTCTTAAGGCCTATAATTAGCGAATTGTTCGTATAGGTTATTGGTCATTTTATTGTTTTGTGTAGAAGTTTCCAGTACATTTCTAGAGAATGAAGTGTGTGTAATATTAAGAATTAAAAAACGATCTTTTTTTTGGTACAATAAACTGTAACTGTTAATAAAGATTTTTTTCTTCCATTGTGCCAAAAAAATATCAGATTTTCTGTGTTTTTACTCTTAATATAGTAAGTAGCATAATGCACATGAAAAGAAATTAACAAGTGTGTAAATATGAAACATCTTTAAGGAATTGATTTAAATTAATGCCTTAGTACTGACAGTATTTGTCTAAGAGGTTACATAAACTTAAGAAATTGGTGACTGTAGAAAAACTGTTTTTTTATGGCTTATGCCATAGTAAAAATTCTTTTGTCGAGGATAATATATTCTAATAAGTTCTGATACTTGTGTAAACTTAGTATTTTTCAAGATGATGTCAAAGTAGAGGGGATATGATTTGATTGAGGTGTTACCCTTTTACTATGAAAATTCGGCTTGTTGCTGCTTACCTTTTCATATTGAATTTGAGTAATTAATAGTGCTAATATGATTGTAAACAATACAAATAATTGAAAAAAGTTGAGTTATTAAAACAATTTTTTCCACTGCTTCCTCGCATTCAGGAATCCTATCAAGATCTGATTCTAGGACTGATGAAAACGTTCAACCCAGGAAAATTCACTATGACTGTGTTTGCAAACAAGGTAATTTAGAATAATACCCCACCCACCCATCTCAAGTTAAGCCTAGAATGGACTAGGTGTAGCGGGTCCGTAGTTTTAAATGCAATCATTCCCAATAGTTGGTGAGTGTAGCTCGCCGACCACCTTCCTCACCTCTGATCTCTCCATTTAGTCGATGTTTGTGTAACATTCCATTCACATTGAAAAATTCATGCTTAGAGCAGAGGAGCAGTTTATTTGATTTGAACGAAACAACATATAGAAACTTTTTGTTGTCTGACTTTATTTGTTTGAAGTGTTCTTTGAGCATGGATTTTTGTGTATTTATTAAAAGGACAAGATTTGACTTCTTTGACCGACTAGTATACTGGTTTTTCTCTTTTATAAAAATTTAATTTTGTAATACTTTTCTTTTCTTAACCATATTTTTTTTATTCTTAAAATTGTTAGTAAAATGGGATTTCCACATCAAAACAAGTTTATGCAATAAGTTATAAAACAAATGTCTTATATACTGACTTGTTGGGAAAATTGATAGTAAAGTTTTCCATGGGAGCAAATGACTTCTTCAAAAGCTCTAACCGTTCGAAACTCCAAACAGTATAAATTCTATTTGTACAATAGATCGTTGACCCATGTGTGTGTTTTATACTTTATGTATAACATTTTTTTTAAAAACATGTGGATTTAATGTTATAAAAGTGGATTAAAAATGCAGTTTTAAAACTTAACGAAAACTTCAGCACCATAATCCCACCTGTGATGTAAACTGAAAAAAAAAAGGTTAAAAGTTATTTAATTGATAATGCTGTATTTATACTTCATACAAAAAAAAAAGTAAGGGGGCATTTATCCCTCCCTCTTTTCTGTGGTGTAAACTGTAAAAATAGGTTGAAATGAGCTTGTTTTTTTCACTGTATTAGGCAAATATACTCAATAGATTACTGAATGTAAAGAGTAATAAAAAATAAAATTTGGCCAGATTACAAATACTTGAAAGACTTAAGTTGCGACATTGTTCCCCCCCCTAATTAATCAAACTGTTTTGTTTTTCAGGCTTCTGTTGCTGCTAATGCTCCTTCAGAGTGTCAGGAGTGTCACTTTAAGAACTACCAACGCAAGGAGTTGCAGCTGTGCGAGTTTAAGAACTACAATCTCACTTACGCACTGTTTGCAAAGGCTCCCAGTTGATTCCTAAAGTACCACCTGTCTGGACGTATCTTGTGTTTTATATCTCCTTTTTATAATGCCACCAGATTAATGTTTGTAGAACTTTGTATCACAGCAGACCTTTTGTGGGAGAGGGTTTCTTGATAAATTTTGCAGTTTTTCATTTCTGATTTGCCCAAGGGGGAAAATACGAAGTTTAAGTTTGAGCTTGTTCAGTTTGCTCACATGAATGTCAGACTGAACGTCTGTCGTGGTTCAGAAGTAGGTGGTTCTTACACCATCGAGTGGTGCACGATAGAATCAAGAGGTGTCATGCATATGAGGGTACTTGTTTACTTATTTCTGTTTATCATGATGTTGGAACATGGGGATCTATGAAATGTTTGATCTGAGAAGGATCACGTTCAGAGTCGGTTAGCATTTCGGATCAGAAAGTACGTAGAGTTCAAGTGGAATGTTTAGATTTTTCGACTAACAGAATTAACCAGCTAATTTCCTACGTTTATTTTACGTCAAGTTGTTCATATTGGAGAGTGTGAAGTCTGTAGTTTTAGCAAAAATTTCAAGGTAATGTTTAGTTTAACTACATTATCTTCATTAGAGAAAACCTATGTTAGATATAATTGATGATTTCTTCTTATTATTATTATTATTATTTTCTTTTTTAGGTTTTCATAGTTATAATTCTTGTGTTCTGTAACTCTTACCAAGTCCGGCCTGTTAGTCGTGTAACACGAGTGTTATCCGAGTTGGTTTATGGCTCTACTGCTGATATTTTGATGGGGTTCACGGTATACAAAGGTGTATAAAACTGTTATACTTCTTGCACTCTTTAAACATTTGAAAGTGGAAGGTCATTAGCATATCTGGCTGTATCGCAAAGGTTGTGAAACGTGCTTCTCCAGGAAAGGGATTTCTGTAAAATTGTACATGGACTAAAACGGAAGCAGAACCAAAGCCATTCCTGTTATATCCTGGACTCTCTATTTTATTTTTTCCTAAAACACTTCTGTATAAATATAATTTTTAATATAATCACTTTTTTAAAAGTGTATCTTATAGAAAACCAGACTGGACTGGAATTTGGTCATTAACAGGTTGCTTGATTTGTTGGTAAACTTCAACAATTGCTTAAAACACTTATTTAATTGCACATGTTGCTGCTGTTATAAACTGGTATAACCACACAAAACACTGACTTGACTTAACCTAACCTAGATGTTTCTCTAGATTGTGAAGTAGATAGAACATTGCAAGAACTTTTCCAAGAAGAACATTACATTGTTTACACCTTTTTAAAATGTTTGGTTTGTATGTTATCTCAATATGGATGTATTATTAATATCGGCTCTCTTACTATGTTATTACATAAGTAGTTAATTAGTATTCAAATCTTGATATGTCCAGACACGTTGGTTTTTTTTTCTTGTAATTTTTGTTTTCAAACTGGGCCTTTGGTTTTTCTTGGGTGAAAAGTTTCCAGTATTCTTGTTGCTTTTTGTGTGGTTAGGTCTTTTTTCAATGTATTCATATTGTGGTTTATCTTTTGGTTTATAAGATTGTAGTTATTACTCGATAAATAAATAAATAAAGCCCATTTTTTTCTGCTACAGCGATTGTTGTATTTAATCTAGATGAGAAGCGAGGCGTGACCATTTGGCTAGTATACCAAGCTACGTATTGGAAGGTCCAAGGTTCGGCCTGTGTGTCGTTGAATATGCTCTTTACAATTATTTTAATTTGTGGAGAATGATAGCATAAAAAAGTTTCGTAATGGAATTGTGAAAAGCCTGTACATCCCGCTAATCGGACACCATACGCCTTCTTATGGAAGCTAGGCCCCATTCTTCGGGTATTGACATGTACCAAAGTCTGGTCTTTCGTATGTGTGTAGTCAATACCAATTGAGTAACAAGATTGGGAGACAATGTGGTTGGGGGTGCAGAAGAGTTGGAACTCCTCAAAAATATTGTTTTCAAATTGAGTCTCCTCATGCTGTAAATAATGTTGCACCTAACTGAGAAATAACCTTCCCATTGTAACAGTCGGTTTCTTCAAGAGGTCCAGAAGAGCCTTAGTCCCGGTACTTCTGACAAATCCAATTATGTTGGATATAGGCTGAGGATCATGTTAGGATAGTATGCCAGCTATCTTCATTGACGGATCCATTTTCTGTCTTCGGTACCGACAGGCATACCAGGGTCTGAAAATAATGTGATGATCATTTTTTGTACACCAGGTTGCAAAATTCAATAGTTACAAAGGATGGTTCATCATGGTGTAGGCTGGAATCATCGTTCATTACAGAACCATCATTCAGTTAGGTATCAAGATAAAATTCACCATTTGAGAGTGAGACCTTATGCTGATTGATGGTGGTATGTGTGGCTGTATTGAGCAACGGTCATCACTGCCTATCTTGAAGAGGAAGCTATCAAGAGGATGGTGTGGTATCATAACCCGACACGTACGGAGTACACTTCAAGAACTCCCTTATCTAAGAGTTGACCCAACTTCTCCAAAAAAAATTATATGGCCATCTGGTTAGTGGGATGTACAGAAATTGTCATATTATTTTTGTGTCTCGAAGCAGTTATCATCATTACTGGAATATATATTGTAAGTTACATTTTATGAAAACACCATAATTTCACTGTTCCTGTTAAAATAGTTTTATCTAAATTGTTTTAAAACTTGAGTTCTGGAAAACTATTCGTTTTGTTCATGATGCCAAGGAAACACTTCGAAATGAAAGAAATTTGATTACTGTTGTTTGAAAGTAGGCCGTTCAGAGATCATCATGGGTATCTATGGTAGTCAAACCCAAGATTGTGCTACATGCTACAGCAATGAGCTGATTCTTCGCACATTGGGATACATGAGGAATTCCACATAAGTAGCAGTTATCAATTCACAGTTTTGGTGCTTTTACACTCGGACCACAAAAATAAAAAACGTTTTAGTTGGAAAATCCTTTCAATTGATGGTTATAGATATGACCTTTCTCCTTAAGTTAAAAACAAAACAACTGTCATTCAAGGGGCCATATATATATATTACAGATTTACAAATAGTACGTGTTGAATATTCCAGGTTAGACAGACAAAAACAGTACAGCAACAAACAGCACTAAATGTTTATTCATATATATATATATATATATATATTTAAAAGAACAATATTATATTTGACTTGTTTATAGATAGTGACTTGAAACTGGACTCGTCACAAAATAATCAGAAAACAAAAATCATGAACTATTAGTGGCATTCATAGTCATTGATTACTAGAAAAACTTTTGCTGACTTTTTTTGGGGGGGGGTAAAAGTTATATCTTGGTTAAATTGTTCATGAAATCGGCCTTAAATGTTTTACAGTCTTGTCAAAGTTGCGGTCAGAATGACTTATCCAGTCACTTAGTATTAACTTGTTTCTTTAGTTTCTTACTTAATGCTGGTTTTCGAACCGAGACCTTGTACTTGAGTATATACTATGATAAAAGGTTAATCTGTAGTGAATATAATTTAAGTTAAAACTAAATCAGATTGCATAAAACGTAAGTTTGTGTTTCGTTTTTTGATAAATTAGCTATTAGATCGTAAAAAATTGCCACAAGTCACACGTCTTGGTAATGATTAAAATGTTTTTTTCCGTAACGTTTTGTTAGGGTCCAATTCGTCAGGCTTGTTTGTTTAACATTATGCGAAGCGGGAATAAACAGTTCCACGATTTTTTTTTATTCTGCAGATGGAAAATTAAGAACAGAGTAAAAATCTTATTGAATCGATCTATGTAGTCCTAGGTCATCGTTACCAGGCTTATTGGGTAACTGTTATTGAGGTAAAACAAAAGTAGCGTACCGCTTATGATACTATAAAACAAGCAACTGATTGACTTAATAGGCACATCAAAAACTATTTGCTATTAATAATCTGATACATTAAACAACTTGTCTACGCAAGGACTAACGAATCGGCCTCAATCATCAACAATATATTACCCTAAGCCTACTGGTAAATTAACCAAATAAGAGCTTCAACTGCGAAATATATTCAGAAACGTTCTTTAAAATAAATTAAGGAATATTTTCTGGAAAAATTATTTCTGTTTTTATATCAATTCCACATTTAGTTAGAAGAGACTACTTTTATACGAGAGCAATTACGTTTATCCATTTACAAAATATTTTAGCTTCTTCAGAAGTCCACTAGAGGTCACTAGTTTTCACTCCAAAAACATTGTTTAAAGGCAAATTAAATCGAAATGACAAATATAAAGTAAATAGTAATTAAACACACACATATATTCAAAAATAAATTAAACTGTTGCTCTCAAACGCACTTAAGAAATTTAGTTTTGAACAAAGTTTCGGCCTGTAGGCCTACATCATATGCCATGCTTGGAGATACTTAAGCTTAGAAAAAAATTATTCTGTTGTTCAAATGTACTGAAGAGCTGTAAATTTGTCGTGTGCCCTACTGGCCCTTAACCCTTGCAACTCGACAGTAATCCTAAACCATTGATGCAGAAATTGCGTGCGAGTCTGTGTATTTATTAGTTGAATGTCCCTAATAACATACGACTTGCACGCAAAAAACATGAGCTCCAAATACCTTCCGACGTGTCTGAAGAAAAGTTCTTGTTTAGTGAAGAACCAACCGAACTGAATAACTAATTCAACAATTTTGACAGTAGACAAGTTCCGATCTTAATAATTACAACTTTTCGACCCACAGTAACGAGTCATCATCACGAAATTAAAAGACATTGTAATTAATACACAAGCTGCTGCTGAGGTACTAAATCCAACTCAACGTTTAAAATTTGTGATCCAGACAAAAAAGCTTTAGAAGTCGCTTTTGCAAAAGCTCGAAATTTGATCTCAAGCTTTCTGACGAAATAAAAACAACGCTCCAATCAACCATTCTATAAAATAAAAACTCAATCTATTATTGTAATGTGTTATCACATCTTCTACCAACCAATGGACACACTTTATCAGTGGTATATAATTGAAGATTTAATATCTTATAAACGATTGATATAACGTTTCAATTAACTTTCTGTTTGTTGTAAACCTCCTCTATTCACACAATATAACATAGAGACAAACTGTTGGTGTGAACGTGCTTTGTAATCACTATGATAAAAACTACACACTGGACAGGTCAAGAGGAGAAACAGTGTCATTGTCCACTATTCAGTTCTTCAAATCATACAGCTGTACAATAGCAGATATAATAAATAAACTTAGTATTCCAGGAATTGTTTAATTTCGAAGTCTAAGTTCGAGGGAGGCTTAGTTCAATCTACACTTTGATCAACGTATGAAACTCTCATCCGAACCCTATCCAATTTTTCATAGATCTTAACTTCCGTCTTCAGGGTATAGCGAAAGGCCTCGTCGACAGCAGTGTGTAACAGAAACCGTAGACAAGACACAATTCTTACTGAACCAGTGAGGAGTGGAGTGTTTAAAATTTTCATTACTCTTATTGTGACGTAAATTATCCATAAATTATAAAAATTACAAACAACTTTATTGAAAACTAACCTACTATTTATGTAAAATCACTGATTTGTCTATACAATATATATATATAAATTGTTTGGAGTGTAGGACTGAATTTTAAACGTTGAGCTGGATCGGACATGATTAATTGTTAGAGTGCAGGACTGAATTTTAAACGAGCTGGATCGGACATGATTAATTGTTAGAGTGCAGGACTTAATTTTAAACGTTGAGCTGGATCGGACATGATTAATTGTTGGAGTGTAGGACTGAATTTTAAACGTTGAGCTGGATCGGACATGATTAATTGTTAGAGTAGGACTGAATTTTAAACGTTGAGCTGGATCGGACATGATTAATTGTTAGAGTGCAGGACTGTGAATTCGAAGGTCCGTTGCTGTCTCCGCACTTTGGTGCCGTCGGTGTGTTATAAGAGTAACGGTAAGATTCGATTAGCGTAGTCCAAATGTTGGCGTGGGTTTATATTAACTAGCTGCGTTCCCTGTAGCTCAATATGAGGGACGGTTGGTGCAGATAGCTTTTCGGTTCACAAGTATTGTTATAATAAAAGTGAAAAAATCTTTCACACGCACACACATATGAGCTATCGTATCAACTGGCTAATGTGAACCCCAAATATTGTAACATACAATAAGTAAATTAATAAACGCGTTTGTTCTTGAACTAGAATAACCCCATGGGGTTTTAATTTTCAGAAATGTAACTGTAATGGCATTCATTGATTTATTTGGCTCTTAAGTTTATCCGCATCAGGCCAAATCGCAGAATTCTAGTGTGAGGTTAATGAAGATGAGAATAAAAAAACGGCTGACCCACATCAGGCTGTTTCACAGAATTCTAGTGTGAGGTTAATGAAGATGAGAAAAAAAAAACGGCTGACACCAAGTTAGATAAACTTTTCTTTTTTTCCATGGTTAATAACGATGGGGAAACGGCTGACACCAGCGTGTTCAAAAGTTACTTGTGGTTAATGAAATTGAAAAATGGCTGACACCAGCGTGTTCAAAAGTTACTTGTGGTTAATGAAATTGAAAAATGGCTGACATTAATGTGGGCTAAAGTTACTTGCGGTTAATGAA